ATTATTTTTTATGTTACAGACAGTACATTTCAATGTAAATTTCTTAAATACCCACTCAATGTGACAGTTATAGGCAGACGATTTCTGCTACTATATTATATTGTGTAGTGAAAGAGATAGATCCAAGTATTTTAAATGTAAGGATAATACCAAGTTAATTAAGACATGAAGCAAAGATTTATCAAAACGTAACTGGAGGCGTCGTGTGTACGAGATGACTGTAAGACGTAAATATTAACTTTATTACTTTGTACATATTTATTACTACAAACTGTTTTTGATTTCTACTCTTCTGGTTGGTTAGCTGAAATACCTGTGAACCGAAATACGGATTTTTTTTTTCAAATACATTAATTCACTACTATCAGACAATTTTAGGCCACGTCGAATTTAAACTAAAATTTATACCTGTGGATCTGGACTGTGTTTAGTTGGTCTACAAATTGACTATCCTTATATTGACTCAAACTAATTATACTGTAAATATGTAATATATCATATTATATTCTATAATAATTGTTCTGCCGTAAAAGCCAAGTACGTTTGAAGTAACATCCCTTAAGTTATAATTTTATGTAGAAATGAATAGCTACGATTTACGAAGGAATAACAAGATGGCATGTCACGATATTTCAATATTATTACTTGTCGAGATGTAATCCTATTTTTCTGACGTACAAAGGTCGTTGGTATAGGTATATTGCGTTGGAGCAGTTCAATGAACAGTAGTAATGGAACTCTCATCTATGCGTGGCACGAGGGTCTGTGTTTTTACCCGATGACAGCAAAGCCTAGTAATGGTTTTATAAAGCTTACATCGCTTCATGATTACGGACTCGTTGGTCTACTGGTAGCAAGTATGGCTAATAATCAACGGGCCATGGGTTCGAGCCCCACTGGGTGTTTCTAATTTATAAATTTTCTGTAACATTTTCGGTAAGATTGTCCGGGTTATGACCAACGCCCACAGATGAAAAAGCCGTGAAGCTTAATCCCGTTTCGATTTCAGTCTTTGGATTTCCAAATATCCAATAGACCGACAGCGCATCTTGTTTAAATTCTACAGGCTGGGATATATCACCTACCATCAAGTAAACAAGTAAAAACATTTATTTTAAAATATTAAGCTTACTTATTTAAATAAAATGCTTTAACGGTTCAAAACGCGATATATATTAGTTAAATTATTTGAAAATTATTTTAACTATGGCCGGTCGATTCGGTTGCTTTGCAACAGTCGTGGTTACGGGGTATGGTGTACTACTCGCGTAAACTGCAGACAGTATTTACTAAGATTACTTCAAATGCGTCTAGCATTACTTAACTAAGGTTTTATTATGAAAAATTCGTATTACTGCCAAATTAGAACAGAACAACAACAGCAAGGATTTGCTGAAGATCAGTGTTAAAGCGTAACTGCACAAAGCAAGATCCTGTCGTCATGACTACTTCTAGTTTTAATTTTTTTATGCAACTTAAAGTTATTTACTAGAACTGTACAAAGTGTATGCGAAACAAAGTGATTTATTATTATTAATTAAATATGACGTTATCGAGGAAACATCGGAAAATAAAGCCTAATTTTATTATTAATTAAAACCTGAAAAATATAACCTCGAAAAATTTTACATTGATCATTACGTATTTGGTACCAGTAAGGTCTAAACACTTTATAACACAATGCGTAATCTAGGTTCAAAAACTACAACTTATTACGTAGGTGTTATATAATTCATGATTTTTTTTAATTACCGAAGTTACCTGCAGCCAATAATCAACGAAGTCTCGAGTGGAAGATTGCTTATTAATCCCGACTCCGAGCAAAACAAACAGCTCATCTTTACGAAATACAAATAAAAAACTTTCAGATGATGACTGAACTTTGTATTTAGTTTCGGTATTGACATTTTAACTTTAAAGAGTTTCTTGTCTTATACAGTTTTATGGTTTATTCTCTGTGTACAAACAGGCTCATTTACTTGTTGTGACCACAGAGTAAAAAATAATAGTGTAGTATATTATAGTCTGTACCTAACGTGAGTAAACATTTCTATAAATTTCATAACACAATATATCTCTCATTTGAAACCGTTAAGAGTGTTTTATTTAAGAATCCATAATAATCTTTTTTGCTACTATTTTACTTCTAATTATAAATATATTGGAAAAACCGAAAATTTCCAAACTTCTAAAGCCAAAATAGGTCGAAACTAACTTAGCTTTCGCGCCATCTTATGATAAAACGACAAGACCCGACAAAAAATCCTCGGGCAGTGGAATAGACACAAAAACGTATTTACCCCAAGCCCCAGAGGGGAAAACAGGATTTTACTTATATTTATATCATTTACGTACCATTGTAGTATATATAGCCATCATTATAATGTTTATAAATATTATACAATACATTTAAAATCTATTTAAAGCCACATAGCGAGGTTCAGTGAATAGAAAGTGATTATTCACGTGCATATTCATATGCAATAGTTGGTTTCAGAACCGCTCTGTACACTTGTTGAATACTTAATGTTTCCCTTATATGTAAAGATAGAATTAAAACTTCTGTAGCTAAAAATAAATAAAATAAAAAGCCTCTTATTAGATGTGGCATTCAATAATAAAATATAAACTTAAATTCTGTAGTATACACGAGTAGTACACATTTAAATAAAACACAAACGAGCCGTAGTTAAAATAATTTTTAAATAAGTTTAATATATATCGCGTTTTAAACCGTTAAGGTGTTCATTAAGATTGGAACTTAATAACTGTGTTGGATATACCATTTATTGGTGAAGGTTATATAACATCACGCTGCGACCAATAAGAGCAAGGAAACTGTGGAAAATGTGAAAAAATCGGGAAACATTTTGAAGCTACAAAAACGGTTAAAAATACCTTTTTAAATTATCTAAATAATGTCCGCTATCTTTAGGAAAAACGTTTTTTATGGCAATCAAATTAGGTCGAAATTTAAGCCTTATTACCAATTATTCGTTAGAGTTATTTCAATATATTGATATTTATCTTGCATAGAACATAACAACATTTGCCGGATCAGCTAGTTATAAATACAAGCTACAATAAAACATATCACATGACCCAGACAAAGCCATTACTCTTTGTCCTACTTCCGATGGAAGGCTATAATTCAAATTTACATCTTAATAGCGTTACTGCATACTTCGCAGTACATTTTAATTGGTTTTATGCTTCATAAATTACCCCAGTGTATCGTAAAAGAGGCGGACTTCAGTTTAAGAATATGTACAATGTAATTATGAGGTACATTCTACTAGTACTAGTACATACTACTATTAGATAGTATGTACTAACGTCAAATACGATAATATATACGACAATATATAATAGTGTAATATATAAAAATCACCTGTCACAGTGGCTATGTACGAAATCCTCAAAAACGGCTGAATCGTTTTTTATATAGTTCTGTATATATTATTGAGGCATGAGAATCGGTTTTAATCTATTTTAAGCTTATTTCATTGCTACAAAACATAACTCAAGCAGTCACAAAATTTAATTACTATACCAAGTAAGAAATGATTTGGCAAATAACAAGGTTTGTCGAGTTGCTATGGGTATAATTTTGAAGTTTAGGAGCTTTTAAAGAAAACTACCTCTGAAAGTCGTATAAATGAAATGGTCATTTATTGTACCTTGATCAGACATTACTATAGCTCTAAAATGATTTATAACGTTTCGTTAGGATTCCAACCCTGGTTTCCTCTCACACTAAACGCAAAGCGGTTAACCATCGAGGCGCTAGAGGTTGGAGCTAGCATTATTTTAACAAAAACCGTTGTACGGTGTAAAGAGCGAATTATATATTTTTTTTTATTTATTTTAACGACAGCCCGACATTTCTGATGTTTTGCAGCAGCCATGTTTACAGCTAAAATTAAGTTAATTAACTCGTATATTTTACGATTTATAGTTTTTAAATGTGTCGCGCAAACTGCAGACAATACCTACTTAGAATTATTATTCAAATTATAGTAACTCCCAAGCATAACCTGAACCCGTTATTATAAGGCAGAGAATTCAAAGGCCGAACTTTGTCGTGTATTAAAAGCTTAATATGTCCCAGTATATCCTCTTTGCTTACAGGCTTTACATCTGCCATTCACGCCCCAAACTAGGCTACGTTTCAAATAGTGCGCTTGAAGCGTTCCTCGTACATAACTACGTATATCCAAGCTTTTCACTTTTAAACTTAAGCGTCTACATTATTGTACGTAGAGCATCTACGAACGTTCTACGAGAGTCTTAAGAATATAAGTAACCGATTATTTATTATAGAAGTTACACTAAATAAAAATGATATTCCATATCTTTTTACGATAACATAGTACTATGATAACTTCGCATTTTTCAGTAAGCTTAAGTGAACTTGCATTTTGCCTGGAAGATTTCGCTCTATATTGATAAGACCGCCAATTGCACTCCGTAACTAGGCATAATATTTTTTCTTAATATTTAATATAACTAATAGTAGACTATTTAAAGGTAAAACTTTTGTATACGTTGTTTCTTTCTATAAAGAGTTAAATAAATAAAGTCAGTGTAGTGTATTTCTTTTCATCGCTTGAAAATGTTATAAAAGTTTAATATTAAAAAATTAGGTTACTGCAAATTAACAATTTACCGATGTATACACTTTGAAATCGTTTAGGAGGTTGATATTAAAATTATTTACATACACAAGTAAATTCGAAAGCTTTAGAAAATATATAGGTTGATCTGAATTAAAATAATATTTATTTTATGTGTCTAATGGTCTAATGGTGCATAGCTGTGTACTAAATGTACTTTTTTAAAAGGTAATTCATGCTTTCATTAGTAACTAAGGCGTTAGAAATATATTGTTTTTTTGACAAACTATTAAAAACAATTGTGTTAGTTTAAAAATCTTTTTAAATTTAAAATCGATTTTAAACACACGAAACTTCGATTACAAAGTTTCGATCACCAACTAACTAAGCGACGATGTTTTCTAAAACTTCCATAAAATACTTACCCATGTCATCAATAAGAGGTGCCATACGCAGTGTCACCCCCACAAGTAGAAGACATAAGAACAGCAGAAGACACGCTGTCACCATTATAGTGTAACGTGCGCGTCGCGGCAGTTCGTCGGGATCCAATACCTACATAAAGTCAACAAATAATTATTTTGGCTTAGATAAAGATTAGAATTTTATGAACCTCTTTTAGGGAGACGTTTTAAAAAGGAAGTCTTTTTTGATCCTTGCATTCGCGATCATACCTATAATATTTTAGAAAACGCCATCTTCTCACGTATACCGTAAACAGACGATACTGATCCACTAACTCGTCGCAGACATTATAAATATACTTATACAGTAAGACTATTCGACAAGAGATGGCGCTAAACACAAAATTGATACTTCCAGAGTTTATTTTAATATGATAGAATAACAAATATACCGAATATGTACAACAACTAGAGATATTATACCACCGCTTTTATTAATCTGTGATTCAAATTATTTTATCATCGAAAAAAAAAGAAACAACAAATTTAATTAAAAATATAGTAACAAAAACAATTTTGTATCGTATCAAGCATATTTGTTTACACTTAAAAAATAAAATATTTACACTTACATGTATAACTTTCGCCTGTTCGTCAATCGCTGAGACGAGAAGAGTTCGATGTTTCTTAGGTTTGTGAGGATGTGCGTGATGATGTCTTCTTCGCCTGCGCCGCCGTCTTTCCATTTCAAAACTCTCTGGACTGTGGATGTCCCTGAAAGCCATATTTCTTTAGTATTTAGATTTACACACTTTTACTAAACTAAAACTTTGTTCTAGGGTAAAATATTTACTTAAACTTATTATTTCTGCTTTTAGTAGGATGTTTTAAATTTACAGTAAAATCAAACGGGCACTGAAACAAATTCAGTTGAGTAATAAGTTTGACAGTTAACTGGTCGTATGATTGATCGTAATTTTTTTTTAAATCCGTTAATAAAGCGATCCGTGCTGTTGCTAACATTGTATAACATGTGTCTAAAACCATGTTTGACTTCGTCTCAAAAAATCTGCATATATGACGTGGGTGACAGGAATCTTAGAAATCTTAACACCGCCTCGGTCGGTTTGTAATGGTGGAAGTTGAACTGTTGGAAGACCTTGAAGTGAAAACTTGTATTTCGGTTCAAATATGTGTATTCCAAATCCAAATGTACAAAATCAGTATAGGTTGACAATGTATTTTACATGTAGACGGAACTTATAAGCCGCATTAACTAAATAACCTTTAACGTGCCAACTAAGCCAAACTTAACCCAGACAATGGCCCTAGCTCGAAACTGCGCTGAAAACAGCTTAAAATTGGGCTAAGAGTCTTAAGTAAGTTGGACTTCTAGGTTGGAACGCAAAACAAAATAGTAAACAAAAGTGGCTGCAACTAAAAGAAATAAGAAAAAATGTTTTTCTGCGTTCCAGTACCTCCTTGTATATTATAATAATAGACAGATTTAAGTAAATAAAAAGTGAACGGCAGTGAAACTTTGTAAGGTAAGGTATGACTTATAACCTACCGAAAATGTGGCAATGATGTATAAAATGTGCCTTCTTTCACTCGTCGAATTTATAAAGAGGCAACTAGATCTTTTATTGAGCCCTGCCCGACCAAAATTATTTATTATATTTCGTCGTATTTATTCAAAATCGTAAACAACGATTGGACTATGTAACCATGGGACTAGTCACTAGTGGATGTAGGTTACGACTGAAATAACGCCTTTTTTACGACACTTACACGGGCAAAACACTGTAGCTGAATTGATTAGAGCACGGAACTCTGTGAATGCCGGTTCAAGTCCTGCCCGTGTCGTATATTTTTAAAAATCTAAAATCGATTTTAAATTTGTATAGACATTAAATTTTGTCTGTATATACAATATATAATAAAAAATTATAAAATATTTATAATGTGACTTAGTAGATTCTATTGGTAGTGCCGCTTAAAAAACAAATACATGACGTGCTTACTTTAAATTATGATATTATAAGGGGCATACAGACAAACGTGATTAATGAAAAATCTATACGAAGAACAGCAAGAATCGGTTTGAGGTCAACCATTGTGAGGAATAACGTCGGTAAGGGAAGCAACGACTCATTGTTGAATTCTGACAGGTTGTTAAAAGTTTTAATTGTATCGTACTGAGAAATCCTGAACGGTTCAAAATCAAGTTTGTATATTAATTATTAAAGATGTTACAATGAATGTTATATAAGGAATTATTTTGAATGGTAATTTAAAGTTAGATGAAGCCTTTTATGGATATTTCTTGTTATTAGTAAGTAATATTTAAAGAAAATTTAAAAATATATATTAAATATTGTTTAAATTACACTTGTAAGACATGAAGCGGCATCCTCGACATCCTCAGCGTTCCGTGCTGTTGCTCTACCAATTGAACTATCAGGTCTTACACGTCATAGTCGATTTTTTTCAACTTTATATACTCCTCATTGAATCTCATTGAATTAAGCATAAGACATTGAAAGCTTTGCATTACAAAGTTAGCTATATATTAAAGTATTGTATGAAAAAAAACGTTTTTTTATATGGGGTATTGGAAGCACGGGTCACATTTTTGTATCCATTTCACTGACCGGTTGTACAAGTAAGGTCACACTTAACATAGAACTAAGCTATTTATCCCTGACTTCTCCAAGATTTCAAGCAATGATAGTCATGCGTTTGACAACTCAGCCACGGCGCAGTTCGTAGTTTTTGGGGCATTAGGACCAGATGATGTTACGTACCCATGGTGAGTGTGGAGTTTGAGTTTCTTTTGTCTCTTTTTTGACCCTTCATGTTCACACCAATGTGAAACGCCACCGTGATGACTTTCTACAATTGACGCTTCCTCTGAAAATACAAAAAATAAATATTTTGTACATAATCTCAAAGACAGCTTGCTATGCAGAAAAAACACTTTAACTTTTTAAAACGCAATGTTTATTAGTTAAACTTATATGGAAATTATTTTAACTGCGGGCCGATGTTTTGAATGCTGTGCAGCAGCCGTGGTAACGGGAAGGAACGTGGTAGTTAAAATCATTTCCAAATAAGTTCAACTAATATACATCGCGTTTTAAACCGTTAGTGTTTCATTTAAATGTGAACCACTCGCTTAAATTACAGACAGTAAGTATTCAACAGTTTGTTAAAAAAGCACATTCTTATGAATCCAACATACTTTGATATTCGATACACGCAGAAAAGTAAATTAAAAGTCATTTAGATCATTTATAAACGGTTTATTTAGCTCGACGTACAAATTATTTTTGGGTCAGATATAAGAAATTTAAGCACTTTCCCCGTTGTCAGATTGATCTGAAATTTGGTTTACACATTTAATTTAGATGACAATACAATAAAATAAAATCAATAACATTATAAATGTATAATAAGATGGCCGCCGATACAAAATGGCGGATTACATATTTTTCATCAACCCCCTGAATATGGGTATCAAATGAAAGGGCCACACTAATAAAACACTTGACATGATTATGTCAAAATTTAAAGTTTTTAGTAGTTTTGAGTCCACAAAAAAATAAAATTGTTTAACTTAAAAGGTTTTTTAACGATTTTTATATATATACATTTTCAATACGTATAAGCACTCGTGTGATAAGTATTTAAAAAAATCGAAATTGAAAATCACTTGAAACTGTATTTATCGAGAAATCTATGAAGTGTTATAATTATACAAATCCAATTAGTACGGAACTCTCAAATATAGATAGAGAATTCCTTTCATAGTCAAACAAAAAACGATAATCATTCGCATTCATTATTTAGGAGTGCTCGTGGAAATAAAAGACAATTAAATAAAATACTTTAACGGTTTAAAACGCGATATATTAGTTAAACTTATTTGAAAATTATTTTTAACTTCGGCCTGACGTTTCGGATGCTTTGCAGCAGCCGAGGTCAAGGGGAGACAAAACGTCGGGCCGGAGTTAAAAATCATTTTCAAATAAGTTTAACTAATAAATCGCGTTTTAAACCGTTAAAGTGTTTTATTTAAATGTATACTACTCGCGTAAACTATAGACAGTGTCCTTCTTCTATATTTAAGGCACGTAATAACCTTTAACTTGATTTACATAAAAGTAAAGTAACAATTGTATTTCGTATGTATATCTTTATTTTCTTATAAATATTTGATGTTTCCCATTTCAAAATATCATAAAATGTTATTTCTTTAATTAAGTTATTTTGCTTTAGTTAAAAAATTGTAATTTTTTTTGCAAAATAATGTAACGAGATCGCTTAATTACTGCTATTAGGCGTCGCAGTTATGTCCATTTCTCCAAGTCTAATTTTGTTTGTATCTTAAGTTTAGACGTAATGTTTTTTATAAAAATAAATAAATAAAGTGAGAAGTAGATTGTGCGAAAATGCAGGCTAGATCTCCATTTAGACGAAATGAAGCAATTAGCACCGCAAGAGTGCCACTTCGACGCCGTTGTGCGACACGCGAGTATGCCAATTTACGGTTTATACAAACTTTTGAAACGATGCAAGATCTTTAGAATCGTTTCGTCGCACTGAACGTAGCCTAAGCCGCCATTAAATAAGAAAAATATAAGTAGCTTCGTTCATATCCATCACATATATGTTCATTTTTTAAATATCTTTATTTCATTCGCAACATAATAAAACTGTATCTTTTCTTTAAAACTATAGGCTGACATCGTAGTCTTACTGACAAGGTTTCTCTCTCTTTTGAATGGAACCCTAAAATTAGAACCTAAAAAAGATACATACGTGAGAGTAACTTCGAAACATCGGGTCGTAGTTGAAATAAATGATTAATTTCGCGTTTTAAATTGTTAAAAGTGTCTAATTTAAATGTGTAATTAACTCGCATTAAGAACAGACTGTAGTTAAGTTAATAAAATTTCGTTTAAAAACTTTAGGCTAATAGATTTTTAAATTTCACCCGAATTGGAATTCAAACCATGGACTTTACGGTCTCCAATCGACTGTACTGACTAGCATCAATGCTGATACTTTCCTTTTTACACGACATAAAACTAATTCTAGATCTCACCGTCTGGTATATGGTCTCGTAACAACAATAGCAACGGGTGCGTGCGCGCACGTCGCCGTGCTTGCTCGGCATGCAATGCTCGTGCCTTGCTCTCCACCAACGCAACCAGAACTGCTTCTAGCCGCGCAGCGCCAGATTCCTCCGTCCATACCGCTTTGTCGACCGCCTGAAATATATATTTCATGTTTATGTTTCTAGAACCTTCTATGTTTGTTTCATATGTCGTATACTAGGAAATACTAGTTAGTTGTTGCCTACATTACCATAGTATTTAATTTAAATGTGTACTACTCGCGTACACTACAGATATTGTTTAGATCTATGTATCTAATACTTTTAAAGCGCTTTCGTTCAATCAGCAATATAGTTTGTTATTTAAAATTCAAATTAAGTCTACTTATCCAACTCCTGTTGTACAGTAAATTATTAATAATATAAATATTAGCATTCGAAAGAAAATAATATCCCGAGGCACAGAAATCTGCGATAAAAATCCACATAGGCTGAAATAGAAATCCCTTAGTCATTGTTAATCATCAGAAAGCCATTAAGAGCACTCAAACGTTACAGAAAAATGACAATAGTATGATGTTTTTATATGATACGATTCATATAATATAATAAAAAAACATCAATGGGAATTAATTTGAGTATTTTATTATTAACTGAAACAATTGAGTTCCAACACATAGGCTTTACCAAGAGGAACAAAGAAACGGAGGGAAACGTGGGAAAAAAAAACATTGAATATTATTTATCTGTGAAGCCTGCGTTGTGTGAGGTGCAAAAAAAAAAAAAAAACTATGTATGAAAAAATGATGCTCCTTTAGCTCATCTAAAGAAATCGCTAAAGTGTATGTCTGTTTTTTAAGATTACTTCGCAAGAACGACGAGACGCGGATGACGTCGTGGGTACTTAAAAATTATAGCTGGTCACCACGGCCACCAAGCCACCACGGCTTTAAAAAATTACGCGGTTTACAAAAATAAATAATATTATAAAGTGAAAGCCCGTTTCCCCCTCGTGGTGGGCGAACACATTTCTGAGTCCGTTCTTTTAACGGGCAAGTGGTTGACTTATGTGGTTACATTAGTTATCCAAGGGTGGAATAACGGAATACCTATAACTTAAAACAGTAGCAGGTTAAACTAAGGCGTGAATTAATTTGCTGGGGAAAAGGTTTTTCTTCTGGAATTCCTAAACAACTAACACATGTAAACAATAGTTATTATGGCGAAGCCGCAATCTGTATGATTAAGCCTTTAAATTTTCAATACATTGTGCTAGCTTTACATAACTGGAAAGCTTACAAATACTGATTTTAATATCCACAATAGCACATAAAAACTATACCGCGAAAAATTAAAATACGATCAATCATGTGCTCTTTCTTAGTTTTTTATAACGGAGGAGGACAGACACTTAATTCGGGAAAAGGTGAAACACTTGTTAATGATTCGAAAATCCACAGACTACTTTTCATGGTCTAGGATAAGGGCGGACAAACATTTTTTCAAGCGGGCCAGAAAATCAACAAAAAAAATAATGCCGCGGGCCGGTCATTTATATTTCATAAGTCATTTATCATTCAGGGCAAGTTTTAAAACATTGTTTTTGAAACAATTTTTTTTTTTATTTCTATACATTTTCACATAACAAAAATTGTCACCTTAGCAGTATTGTTATAAAACGTACGAGATTTCTATGTTTTAAGTGTAGATAAAACATTTTAAGTTCAAAATAATATGGTAAAATTTGAATTTTTGATGTTAAAATTTTTTGCGAAACGTTCGGCGGGCCTCTGCGGACTGACCGTCGTTTGCCCATCCCTGGTCTAGGTTTTCCAGACGAGATGACATCGAAACATAAAATAAATTGACACATTGGTCCTTCAATGTATAAAATTTAATGGCAATACATTGCAGGGCCAACGAGTCGAAATGAAATAAGTCGAGTAACCTTTACAGATCTATCTTCGCATACAAAAGATTTATATCCAACTTGAAGTTGTAGACTAAGGCTGATTTAGGTCTAGCTCTGACTAAATACATACTTGAGATATTCTAAGCGTTAGAACTCGAACATTTCTGAAGTAAGTACGAAGTAGTAAAAGTGGAATTTGAATAAGAATTGACTTAAATACTGTCTGTAGTTTACACGAATAGTACATTTAAATAAAACACTTTAACGGTTTTAAACGCGATATATATTAGTTAAACTTATTTGAACTACGACCCGACGTTTCGGATACTTTGCAGCAGCAAAGTATCCGAAACGCTGTCTCCTCGTAACTTTCACAGTGTTTTATTTAAATATATGGTCTCTTCTCTTCTGTAGATAATAATAGTAATTGATTTTTACTATTAATATGTCTGAAATTATTAAGTGCTAATCATAATAATTATTAGTAAACATTGTAATACTGGGTTGTAAGCGAATTAAAATTAGTAAATTAGTTGCACTCAGAAATAAATTAGAAACAAAACATGTGTTTGACCATACCTTTAGTGCGGAAAGTGGGATTTCGGATACAAATTATACTTAACCTTGTATTTTGTTATTCTTCCTACTTCATTGACACTCAATTTGATAATTTTATTTGATATACAAAATTTATTTTTGCAAACCTCTTTTTCATTTTTATCAATTATACCTGTTGCCCACGACATCGATCACTTTTTTTTTTTTTTTTTGAATTGACTATTACGTATTGTGTTCCTATGGAGCCACGAATACTAACCGGGCGTTTTGGGCGAGCGCGAGAGCGCTCATCGATCACGTCACGTTGTTCTTGCAAGGTAATTCTATAAGATAGACATATACGAGTGATGTCGCGGCTTTTTCTTAATCATTTTAAGAGAAAACATTTTTTAATTTTAATTTTAATATATATTTTGTTTCTTGAACCGTTTTCGCAGAGCACGCAATGGAAGCATTCAACGATGAATAATTCTCCCCATTTTTTCCACATTTCCTACGGTTTCTTGGCTCCTATTGGTTTTAGGCTATAAAACATTATGATGTGCGTGCTATTTTATAACCTAAAGCGTTCCTCGATAAATGCTCTAACTTACTAAAGATCTTTTCTTTACAATTCGAATCAGTACTTTCTGAGATTAACGCGTTCAAACAAACTCTTTAGCTTTGTAATATCATATGTCAATAAGTATAGATATCATAAACTTATTTTTACTGATCCTATCAACTTCTAACCGTTGAGTGTAACAACCTGACGTATTCGCTAAAAAAATTATATTACTTTTATAGCCAATGATAAATATCGTAGAATATAATTCAAAGAATATTTACAATGAGATTCCATTGTAAATACGTATTCTATCGCGAATGCACACAAACCGCAAGAATAGATTTATTAGTACCATATTTGAATAGGCAGAAAGATACGGATGCTTTACCCACACATAGATTCTAGGTCGTGAGATACAAAGCTCTTTGTAAAATCTTTCAAATGACATAGCTTCTGAAGTTTCTTTCAAGAAATTACACCTGTAGTGTGCAAAGGTACGTTACACATTTGACAATTTAGGTAGTCGGAACTACTGCGTGGAAACAATACGCTATTTTCAGATTTTAAGCTCGTTTAGAAAAAATAATCTTGATATAAAAATGCAAAAAATCGTCATTCAGCATTCTTATGTTATTTTCTTCCCTTTAGACGAAAATGATGCCTAACCGACAAGATAACTTTGGTTATAACTTAAAAAAAACCTTTATCAAAAATAGTCGTACATTTTTGTTATAATTTATTCGTGTTTATTCATTCATACACTTATGAATAAACAATAGATTTCTTCACCTGAAACCACATATTTCGTAGTAAAACATCCGCATAGCGACGCCGGCACAAAAGCCTTATCGAAAGTTTATTCGGTCTTAATTAACTGCTCTATATGCAGTATATTCATCACATGGTGATATCCTATCATTACACATGTATTTAAGACATCCAGATCAAACATAATATCTAAAAGTCAAAATATAAAGATGCAGTATTATATAGATATACTTTATTATAGACTTCAACTTTGCATGCATAGTGCAAATAAAATTAAATATTTTAACGGATTAAAACGAGATATTACATTCATAAACAAACAAAAACACTTCAATGTCACCGCAAGAATATTACAAATATATTATTTAATTTGGAGAAACGGCGGCCTAATCGCTAAAAAACGATTTCTTCCAGGCAACGTCGAAGATGGAGATATAGAATAATAATTCAAAATAGTACTCTATAATAATTCTAGTCACTCACAAGAGTGACTAGAACTGTAATAAGTTTGATACAGTACAGTTTATCGTCATTGTATGTATGTACATATACCCATTTGTATATACATATTACATATACTTAATTGTCTTCATAGCCATTAGACTCATTAAATACTTCTTTGCAGGGATTCTCTAAGTACAGATAGATTTAAAGAGTCCTCATATAGGTAGAGTTGAAGGTAACCATTAAGAAGAAAGAGAAGAAGGAACAAAAGAAAGGTTACTAACATCGGTCGACTGCTGGCGCATGTTGAGCCCGCGGCTGGCCCATGAGGCCGATCATCGCCTCTCCCCCCCTAACGACGCCCAATCCAAACCTGAAAAGAAGAAACGAAAATTAAGGAATGAAAAAACATGTATAAAGTTCTAGCTATGTCAGCGACTTCGAAGCATGATGCGCTGTTTTGTCGTTGGATATTTGGAAATCCACAGGCTGAAACTGAAACGCGACTTGACGGCTTTTTCGTTTATGTTATATTATATTCGTGACTCGTACGGAATTTCGATATTACCATTTAATATCCAGATTTTCAGACGGAGTGCGACATGTTTCAGAAAAAAATATAAATTTCTTAGATAATGTTGGACCTGATGGGAATCTGATACGATTCATTGATTATTAGCCACACGCTACCATTACAGCGACGATCCTGTCAAATGGAAAGAGAAGTCTATAACAGCCAACAAATTTCGTTGTATAATAAGAGTATTTAATACATAATTATCATAGGTCAGTACATCTGTCATTTAATTCTACCCTCAAGATGTTAGTAACCGTTTAAAGTGGCCTAATTTTCCCTTCACTACACGAACCAAGAGTCATTAAACACGAAGACGAGAGAGCACTAAGACAAGTTTACTGCAAATATTAAGCTTAATTTAAGTAA